GGACAACTTGATTTGACTCACAGAAGAAGATTACACACCCTTCATGTTTTCAGAAATAAGTGGTTGAATGATAAATAGACATCTGCCCAGGAACACCTCTCCAGGAAGCCATCAGTTTCAGAAGCAGATGCTGGGCCATGCTGGAGGTGAGGGAACAGCTGCTCTACTCTGAGCTCCCTCTGAGAGACAGAGGTCCAAGACACAACCACACCACCAGAGCAACAAGGTCAAAGACTGTTGTGTATTAAAGGGCCCATATTACGCCATTTTCAAATCTGTTAGATCTGTTTCTCCATCAAAAACATACCTGGAGTTTGTGTTTTCTTTCATTCACATGTTTAACACATACATCCTGTGCTTCACTGTGTTTTAAACTCCATACACCTTCACCTGAATCATTTAATTTGGATGGTTTCAGTTTTGGAATTGCCCATTTCTTCTGAACAAAAGACAAAAAGTAGCTGTTAACATGAAAACTACAGCTTCATAACATCACAAGGTCAAACAGAGCATTTTGAGCTTTGGAGATGCAGACAGACTAATAATGCAGTGTTGCTCAAACATGTGTGAATGAAACAAAACACAACTCCAGGTATATAGGTAGGTATTCTGAGGTAACAACATTCTAACATGAAAAAGCTCACAGGAGTCGGTTCTGTGTGATATAGGACTTTTAAACCGACTCAAATCAAGCACAAAATCAGTTTCTCTTTGAATGACAAGTTCAAAAGTGTGTTGTGCAGCCCATTTTGTGGACGCTCTAACAAAAGAATCTACAATAGGGTGCATGATTGACACAGAAGTCTGAATGGTGTGTTCAGAAACTAGATTTAATTCTAGACATAGTACACTGTCAGCTGTCTTACTCCTGTAATAAATCAGTCAGTTTTACAGTTTTGTAACAGAGTTTGAAGGTCCTGCTCCCCCACTTACTGCCTCTACATGTATCAGGATTGCTACCCCAACAGTCCAAGCTGAACTTTTAAAGGTGCACTCTTGTTTTCTATTGATATGTCATTGCTCTGCCTGGAATGTTCCACAGTATGACATTAAACAACTCCATCTTACATTTATTCAATTGCAAGTGGTTTTATAGCTCGAAAACACGTAGAAAAACATTGATTCTGATTATGAGCGGCATTGCCTCTCCAAAGATCTGACCTTTAACTTGGTCTGGTTTGGGCTCCATGAAGATATAAAGGTTTAATGTCATACTGTGAAACATTTTGGACAAAGCAATAACATCTCCATGAAGAGAAGAATTGGACAGATCTTCCCCCAGAAAAGTTACACAATGCCCCTTCAAACAAGAGACCAAAAGCTACTAAACAAATAAACTTCCAACAAATGTGATCAAAAGCTGCCATAGAGTCTAGGGATGCACCGATACTGACACTAGTATTGAATATCCGTGCAGATCAAGGAAAATTTGCAGTATCAGGTATCAGTTCCATGAGTTTGGTTCAGACGATATCCTGGTTGGACTCTTTACTGACTGATGTAGACCCAGGATGTCTCAAGATGTTTGAACTTTAAACGTGCATTTTTCTGGTGGAGATTCTCTTACCTATTTTCTTTCTCCATTAAGATGTTATTGCTTTGCCTGGAAGGTTCCATAGTACGACACTAAACATATCCATCTAGCATTTATTCATTACAGTATATGCTCAAAAATACAATAAATCCTCCTGTTAATAAAGGCGATAATGAGATCTCAACTGTAATGTAGCGTAGTACTGTAACCCATTGTTTCCCAAAGACTGGGTCACGACTCTCAGGTGGGTCGCAAGAGATTTTTTTTGGGTCGCCTTGTCACATAGGTCTGTCTGCAATATACATTTATATACATCTCTGCGTACCCCCTGCTCCTCAGTTTTTTGGCAGCACCACCTTGCCTTAACAAATTTCTGTGGGAAACACTGATTACTGTTTTTCATTGCATAAAACCTGAGTAATACTAAATGTTAAAGACCTCGCTCACTCAGTCAACAATAAAATATCCTCATTAATGTTCAATAATAGTCTCAAATGTATTTAGTGATTTACGAATAACATCTATTAACTTGGGTCGCGAAGATTTGTGACTTTAAAAATATGGGTCCCCAGAAAAAGTTTGGGAAACACTGCTGTAATCTGCTTGTCTTCCTCATGACAGATAGGTTTAATCTATACTGTGGAACATTCTAGACAAAGCAATAGCATTTCCATGGAGACAAGCAGGTGGCAGACCCTCCACTACAAAAGTTACACAGTGCACCTTTAATATCAGATATCAGCAGATACTTAAATGATATGGTATTGATAACTGTATAGAAGAACTCCAAAGCCTGGATCAGTGCATCCCTACAGACTGCCATGGTTAGCGCTTTGTTTTGGTCAATTCTCCAGCTGACATTAAGTGCCTTCTGGTGGATATTTAACAGCCTTGACATTAGAAACAGTTGGAAGCATATATTCAGACACAATACTACGCTTGGAACAAACAGATCTGTTTACACATACAATTGAGCAGAAATGAGCCTTATGGTCTAATTTTGTCATGGCAGGGCAGCCAACTGGCACAAAACTAAAGTTGTGCGAGCAAACTGTATTTTCAAATATTCAGCTTGCTTCACTTCTAAATGTTACCTTTTGTTTCTAGTCATGGGGTTTTTGGCTTTGGGATCTGTTCATTTCAAAGAGCCGTTCAGAAGACTGGCACTTTTAATATTTATGTATGAGATGTTTTATGTTTGTATGTATGACAGAAGCCAATGTGGGAACTAATTTTAAAGCTTTAAAGATGCATTGTGTAACTTTTCTGTAGGGTCCGTCACCTACCTGGAATGTTCCACAGTGTGACATTCAACAGCTCTACACCACATTTATTGATTTACATGTGGTTTTATAGCTCAAAAATACCTAGAAAAACTGGCATTCTGACTGTGAGCGGGGTCGCCTCTCCACAGATTTGACCTGTAACTTGGTCTGGTTTGGTCTCCATGAAGATAGAAAGGTTTAATACTATGTGTGAAACATTCCAGACAAAGCAATAACAATTCCTCAGAGAAAAGCATTTGTACGTCCATCAGAAAAGTTACATATTTGACATGATATTTGTGTTATTCAGTGTTAATCAGTATAACAATCATAAAAACGATAAAGTAAAAGATTAGCTCCTTTTAAAAAACAATCTGATCCCAACCATTCTCATTAAGGAGTCGCTCAGGAACCACTCACAACAGTTTTCAAAATTAAGAGTCTGACTGGTTCGTGGTTGGAAAATTAAGTTATACATGCAAATTATAACACCATCATGTCGTGAACGCCCCATGTGGTTAAAACATAATTCTCCAGTGATGTTACTATGTTAAATTGAGTTTAGAGAGTGCTGTGAAATCAACAGGGATCCTGATCGTACTAATGCTGCCATTAAAGTTTGATTAAACCTGTATCTTATGTTATTGCTGTTCCACTTTGCATAAGAGCTTCGGTTATGGTTCTGTCTCACCTCTGTTAGCCCACACTCTCCAAAGCCGGTCACGCTGCTCCTTCAGGGTTGCATAAATCACGTACTTCTTCGCCCATTGATTATTTTTAAAGAGCCCTCGATGCCCATGATGAACGCTACCTGAGGCCATTTTTCAATTCATTCCACGCTTTTGTTTTGTTTGAGTAAATATTCTAGACTTTCTTACAGCTGCCCACCCATAACAAAATGTAATATGGCAAGAAATGTTCTGAGAGTGTTAATGACTTTCAAGCATCTGCCCTATAATGAAGATGTGTCCAACTAGAGGCGTTTGAATGCGGAGGCAGACTGAGCACAGCATTTGCAGGTCAGATCTGTGGAGAGGCAACCCCACTTACAAGATTTTCAGGGTAAAAAACATTTTAAACTTAATAAGGGCAAGGTATATAAGTTTAATGCCATACTGTGAAACACTCTAGGACAAGCAATAACTTTATAATTTAGGTCAGACATGTCAAACTCAGGCCCAAAATTTGGCCTGCGATATAATTATATTTGGCCAGCAAGATCATATCAAATACGTATTAGAGCTGGCCCGCTGGGCACAGATAGGCTATAGAGACATTATTTATTTAACATGTTGTTACTATTTTATATTATGCTTGTTCTGGATTTAATGTTTAAGCAAAACTATTATTAAACCTTTATTTTAATAAGAAAAAGTTTAACATTATATCTCGAAAGAAGAGAAAACATGCAGATGTTGTTGAACATTTTCAATAAATATTTAGTTTGACTCACGACTTAGTCCCAGTTTTTAATTTTGACCCTCTGTGAATTTGAGTTTGACACCCTTGACTCAGGTGGTGGACTCTCTACTAGAAAAATTACAAAGTGATCCTTTAACATTTGGAAAACTGCAATAACTAAATAATAACAATACTCTGAATACCATTTACGCCTCTGGTCTTTGTTATTGTACTGACTATTGTACAGACTGCTGTGCCCAAATCATATCCCTTGTGGATCAATAAAGTTTGTCTAAGTTGAACTCTACTAGTACAACAACATCTATTTCACAACATGTTTGGAGCGGTCTACAGACTGGATTTTATACATAAGACAGGGTAATTAGCCATGTTTGCAATTAGTTTCTTGCAACCATTCAAATTGCAGTTCAGATTGAATTGCCATCTGGCTGCTTGGTAAATGATAAAATTCTAGATTGCTGTGGGATGAGGAGTTGGTACAACTACAGCTGCACACTGTTGTAGAATACCGACTTTGTTCTGGATTTGTAGGTTGTCCCTGAGTTCATGTTAAAATGAATGTAAACAAACAATACAATGAGAAAAGCAGCTGGGGGAGCATGGCAGCAGCATTTTTAATGCCCTGGATCTTGCTTGATAAAAAAGTGAGAAGGAAATCACAAACACATGAGCCATAAATCAAGCGCTGCCAAAACGAAAGGATCACCGTTGAGATCTATGGAAAATACGATGATGGATACATGCAATACAGGGCTCACGGGTACAATCGGTTAGCTTACCTTCTGCTCACATGATTGAGTTTGTGCAGAGGGGAAAGATAAATAGTGGTTAGATAACACCAATGTGGAATAACTCTAAGGTTTTCTATTTATAGCAACAACTACACAGACAAAGTATAAAGTGAAAAGTAGTAAAATAACTTTCCATGATAACATTATCTTGAATGAATTTATTGTTTGTTTGGTTTTTTTTTATGTTAGGTGCTTGGAATTTTCACCACTCATATAGGCTTGAATAACAATCCTTATCAGTAGCTGATTATGTATATTAATGTTGTCTTCTTAGTAGAATAAGAAGATGAAAGTTATCACCGAAACACGCCTACGAAATACACCATTTGTATGTATTCTGTCTTATTTAGAAGATCAGCCAACTTATTATGACACATTATCACATTTGTTGTAATATTGCTAGTACTATTTATCTATTAGTAGTAGTAGTATTTTAATGCTTCAATTTCTGCATATTTTAGCAGTAACTGTGCCATACGTACGTATTTGGAAATGTTACAACTCCTGGAGTCCACGTTGTATCTGCAAAAAATAACAGAATAAATAAGTGAAGGCCTCCCAGGAGAATAAACACCACATCCCCCTTTCTCCTTCCATATTGGTCTCTTTTAAAGTTCTTTTCTGGCAGCAGGGGAATCATATCATCAGATCATATAGCTTAGTGCACATATGCCTATTTTGGTTTTCAACAGCACAAACTTGTAACTGAGACAATCATTTCAGAAGGCCCAGTGCCTTTTGGTACAGATATCCAATATTTGATACATATTGTATGAGCTAAATCTAGGCCAAGCCTTCATTGGTTTAACCCCTGAAGATCCTTTAGTGATGGTCAGTTTTACAGTAATGAAACAGCTCATGTTATTTATGCAGCTCAGTGGGACAGGAGTCAGACAGATCTGCATTCACAGAGCACTTGAGCAGCAGCAGGTGGGGAGACTCTGGCAGGTGTGTGATATTAGAGTTATGCTCATTAGAATCACAAGAGTTTGTGCGTCTGTAATTTGTTTAGAAGCTGCTTCACGCTCGCTAAATTGTTGCTATGGACCTCCCTGAACCAGCAGCACATTTGTGTTTCTTGATTATGGCTCTGGAGACGCCTGGCTGATTTTCTCTATTGATTCAAGAGAAAGGTGGATGAAAAGAATGGCCGAGGCGTAACACTGGGTCTAATTTAATCAGTGCAAGGGGCCTACGTTAAGTGTCCTTGCTGGAATCTTCTTGTGTGATTGAAAATCCTGGTATCTAAATTTAGCTTAGATTGGTCTGTTCATTTATCTTAATGGAGCAAAATTACCTCTTCACCTCGGTGAAGACCTGCAGAGACCGGAATTATTCAAATGTAATCAAGGCTAAGGCAGCGAGACCTGTTGTCGCGACTGTTTCCTGAGAATAACAGATGAATGAAGACTATGGGGTACTCACACATCGAATCTGAGGTTCTGTTTCTCTTCGAAGAAGAAATCCAGGACAAACTTCCTGACAAAGTCTGGGTTCCGTGTGTTATCGATCACTTCTGTCCGGCCGAACTGCAAGAGCACAAGTAAACAGGTGAACTCAGTGATGGATGAGTGAATAAATGTAATGCAGCCAAAAGGACAAAGTCTGAATTATATTCATGAGATTCAGCAGCAGCCCTTATTACCACTATAACATTTCACACCAAAAGAGTCTTTTCTAAAGATATGAGGTTTCTATTACACTGGGGTTCATGTGCCAAGTAAAGACCAAGGGAGTCCCAGGAGAAATCAGCCCTCTTTCAGAATCCCAGCCTGCCCCAGCAGCCTCTCGGCCCGTCCCAGGCTGTCCGGGCCTGTCCCCTCCTGGACCTCCTGTCTCTCCATCTCTCAGACAATCACAGTGTAATCCACAGTACGGTGCGCCCCGACAGCACAGCGTAATGAGCTATTGATCTGAACAGTGCCTCAGCACAGCCGGCACAGCTCAGCCCTGTCTTTAGTGCCCAGCACACATAATCCAGGCTATCAAGTGCGTCCCCAGCCTATCCATTACCAGGCCTCAGAGGAGAGCAGCGGACCTTACCTGTGTATCGACCACTGGCAAATTCCCCGGATACTTCCAGCGCATGTTTCTATTCTGGTGTGGAGGACTGAGGTGTGAAACTCACTCAGGCTGATTGGTTAATAGGTGTTGTGTGATGTGCTGGAGGTTAGACGAGTGTTACAATTGTTAGAAGGGCCAATGTATTCGCTGCTGCCAGAGAAAGCCAGAAACACTCATCTCCACTTGATCTTTTTCAAAAGGCAAAACTACAGCTCCATCCACCAACTGTCAACTGAACTCATCTTATATGACACTGCTCTTTATGACCATTTAAATATCTAAGAGTGTGTCACCTGTCCACCCCAGCCCAAAGGTCCTTAACTGTAATATTCTCACCACTCCACCTCTGTAGCACACACTGACAAAACTCTGCTTGGTGCTACTATACTTAGCTGCTGTCAATAAAAAGCAGCATCTAAAGGCACAGGTACAAAGCATGGTCTGATCAAAGAGCTGTCGTACAGAGGTGTACACTGCACTGAAGTTTCTGTTCACTGATGATCACGACGACGCAAAGAACTGGTCCACATCAGGGGGCCTTTCTTCTCAGCATCAGATGAATATTGTTCTGTGTGCAGTAATAGCAATATCATTTGGTTTCTTTCAATCTTTTAAGACATTTGGTAAAGGGTCACAGTTATATAACACTTTTTCAAAGTCCAATGTGCTCAACACACTCAAACCCACTGACACAATCATACACCAGTGCAGTGTATACAGACACTAGGGGTGTGGGCTTTAGGTGTTTTGCTCAAGGACGCAACAGTATGCATCTTTTGGGAGCTGGGATCAAACCACCTGCCTGTTGTCAGTGGAAATTACACTACCAGTCAAAGTTTCACTGTTTGGAATGATGTACCCATGGAAAAAAAATAAATAAATAAAAAAAGCATGCATGTTTTTTTTGTTTTTGTTTTTTTTCCCAATTATTTTGACTGATGGTGTATCTTTACTAACTTTGCTAACAGCATGAGTGGGATTTCAGTGGATAAACAGTGACTATAGCTATAGCTAAAGAAGGACTTTATTTTTATACACTGTTTGGGGTTTGTTTAATCCCTCCTATTATATAATCTAAACTCAGATCTCAGAGTATTCCAGATGGGTGCTCCAGATAAAGTGGCTCATTGAGATCTAGAGAAGAGTTCATACTTTTAAATCTGAGTCACTCTACAATTTTTCATCAGATTTTAAGAAAATTTTAGGTTACACAAACCATTTTTAAACCTGGTCACTACCCTGACTCTGTGCTGTGGCGTGTATAGGAAGATAGAAGCTGCAATCATTTTCTCGTGACATGACTGAGAATCGTACAGTCACAGGGATTTCTGACATGTTCAATATTTGTTGAAGAGTTCAAGCGCTGCTGAAGATTAAAAGGTCCCGTTACACAAAATGGATTCCCGTGAGCTTTAAGCCATGTTGCTACCTCCATAAAAACATACCCAGGGTTGTCTTTTGTTTCATTCACACATATTGGAGTAATCCTTTCAAAACTCCCCCTTGTGATGTCATGAAGTGGCAATTTTCAAGTTAACAGCTACCTTTTTTACCTTTTGTTCAGTAAAGTTTGGAAATTCAAGGGCTGAAATCATCCACATGATTCGAGTGAAGTGGTACAGAGTTTATTATTCCCATTTGAAAGAACAGGATTTATGTGTTCATTATGTGTGAATGAAACAAAACACGACACCAGGTATGTTTGTGATGAGGAAACAACATTATAACAGATCCAAAATATACGTAATATGGGCCCTTTTAACAGTAATGAAGATCTGTAGGGGGCAGTATACAGTCTGAATGGATCGGGGCATGGAGGTGAAGTGGAACAGCATGATTGTGTGTGTTATGTCTTCCTGAATGAATCACTGCATTCACCAAAGTCAAAGAAGTTCCGTGCAGCAAATTTCAACGACAAACAACAAACTGTGAACCTGCAGACCATGAACTAAAAATCAAACAAACCCTGTCCTAGGGGTTGGGATGATTCTTTGCTCAGAATCCTAAATCATTTTAAAGGTCCTATATTATGCAGAGTTGATGCTTGGTGAGCTTTAAGCCATCTTAGAATGCTGTTACCTCTTCAAAAACATGCCGTTGTGTTTTGATTCATTCATTACTCTTTATTAATAGTTTGCCTACATCTCCAAAGCTCAAAATGCTCTCTTCCACCTTGTGATGTTATGAAGCTGTAGTCTTCAATTAAGCAGCTACTTTTTTAGATTTTGTTCAGTAGAGATTAGTAATTCCAGGACTGAAATCATCCAAATAATTCTAGTGAAGATGTATGGACACTGAATTACTTCCTATATCACATCACAGGGTGTTTTTTTCCGTTTGAGAGAAGACTTGAAAGATGCAGGATTTGTGAGTTAACCCTGTGTGAATGAAACAAAACACAACTCCAGGTATATTTGTGATGAGGAAACATTATAACATAAAGAAATATTGTAATATGTGCCCTTTAAATATTAAATAAAAGCACATTTCTTCATTTTATGGATTTTGAATTCAGTTATCCAGGTTTGTAGGATTGCAATATCAACACACACCTCACTTTTTTTATTCCAGTTTTCACCCTCTACACAAAAACGCAATTATATAACAGCTCTGACCTTTCTGTCAGATAGACAATGTGGGGCTATGATTTATGGCATCAAAAATATTGATTGTACAAAATGGATTGCAGACTTTTGACAGTATTTAGCGGTATTGATCCATGGTGGCGTTTTCGTTGAGGTACATGTTTGCAATAATTATCACCAAACCCAGCTGGCCACATGAACAGAGCTTCACAATGTATATGTTTACTACTTTCCACATTTGATATACAGATGACATCAAATATATGAAGTAAGATATATGGAGTTATTTAGTAAAGAAAATAAGTAAAGCTGCATTGTCACTTTTCTGGTGGAGGGTCCATCAAATGCTTTTCTCCATGGAGATGTTATTGCTTTGTCTGGAATGTTTCACAGTATGGCATTAAACCTTTCTATCTTCATGGAGAACAAGCCAGGCCAAATTACAGGTCAGATTCTGTGGAGAGGCGACCCCACCAGCAGAATGCCTGTTTTTCTAGATATTTTTGAGCTATAACATCACCTGAAGTTGTATACATGTAAGTTAGAGCTGTTCAGTGTCATACTGTGGAACATTGCAGGCAGAGCAATGACATATGTCCATAGAAACAAACAGGTGATGGATCCTCACCCAGAAAGGTTACAAAAGGCACCTTGAAATAACTCTGCTACCGTATTTTTCGGACTATAAGTCACACTTTTTTTCATGGTTTGGGTGGTTCTGCGATATGTTACAATTTTCACACTGACAGCCGTGAGAAGGCGCTCTACTCTTGTGTGTCAGTATCTGCTACTCCAGTTACTCCTGTACCACTGTCACTTTACTCTACTGCACATGTCTCCTGCAGAAAGAACCGCTGTCCTGTCTGGTATCATGTCAGTCATTTGCACCATTACTTCAGTACCACTGAAAATTTAAAATTTAAGTGACTTCAGTGACAACCGAAACAATCCTGTAGGGATTCAGAAAGGCCGGGATAATTCTAACTGGAACTGATGCTGAGTCTAATGACAGCTACATAGAAGAGGAAGCAGCGCTCTGTTTCCCACCAGAGGTCGCGGAGTTACTCAAAAGTGACACCGAGGATAAAGAATTCAGTGAAATTAGAGGTTTAGAGTGAGATGGAGTTTGGTAAACGTGTTCTGTTTTTTATGCTCTAGTTATCTGAATAACTGTTCATATGTGACGTTAACAGTCTGTTGTTCTCTCTTCTATTGTTATTACTACAACTTTCATTTCAAGATGCAAGTTGTAGTGAAATGTCGGTTCCTGGTCTCTTACTTTCTAAAATAAATTTCTCCCAAAAAGTGTGACTTATAGTCTGGTGCATTTTTTGGCTTGTGTGACTTAAACTCCAGAACGACTTATAGTCCAAAAAATACTGTAAAGATTTTTCGAGTAAACAAAGGGGGCTAATTTGAGGATTTGGTTATAAAATATGCTATATAATTCCGCATAGATCTTACTTCCTAAATTTGATGCCTTCTGTATTTACATAGAAAGTAGTAAACATAGAAAAAAAAAAAAAACAATGAATGAGATGGCGAGACCAAACTTTTGACTGGTGCTGTAGATGTATTTGTTTTCGTAACAGCACCTCTATGCTCGACTGCCTTGTGTCGCCTTCCCCTGTGAGAGATTAGCTTTCATCTTGTTTGAGCATTGAAATTGGAGTTTTCCATAACTGCACGACACAATAGGTGTATTAGCAGAATGCATTGTGAGTGGCTCTTTTGTGGAGATTTGTTCACCCTCGCAACGTAGCGCGTCTAAAGTTAGCGTCAAGGAGCGTATTAGCATGCTCGGAGTATATAGTGCCAGAAGCATTTGGGGATGTTTTTATTTTGCTGAATGGAAAAAGAATATCATTTATTTTCACAAA